TCCGGACTGGTGGGGATTTAGAGATAGAAATTGGAAAGAAGTCAGCAAAGTCGTTACTGAAGAGGAAAACAGAAGGAGCAATTCGTGCCAAACTTAAGAAGCTCTGAGCCGGGCCTCCGAAGAACGGAGGCTGCAAAGAGCAGCAGATCCCTTTGATCCGGAGACATTGACAAGGTCATAGGACACTCAGCAGACTTGGTCTGAACATCTGATTGCTACCTGATTACTTCCAGAATGGGATTGCTGGCAGGCCAGCTGGCAGACCCACTTTCCCTATGGTGATGCTTATCTAATTTTTACCTCCTTTGTTCTCCGCTGTCTCCTGTACTCCACATCATCTCTCTAGAAATAGAAGCATTTTCCTGAAAAGGCGAGAAAGCTTTGATTGCGGCACTCCAGGGCTCGCGGGGACCTCTGGGGCCAGCTGCCAACGACCCCCCACCCCACAGCGTCGGGCAAACTCTAGGGCAGAATTTCCTGTGCATACATCACCTGCTCTCCACCTGCATTCCTGAGCCCTGGCTGAGAAGCCAGAAGATGCAGGGTGAGGTATACGAGCTGCAACTCAGTTTCTTCATGTATAAAAAGAAGTCCACAGAATCACGATGGAGCCGCAAAGATCAGGCAAGGCAGTGTGCCTGAAAGTGCTACTATAGTCGGGGTGGTATTATTGTGGTGGTGGTGGTTGTTGCTCCAGCTGTTCACGCTTCAACCACTGTGCCTCTATGTTTGTTGCCAAATCCAGCGATATATCAGTTAGAATTAAGTTTGGCTGCTAATTACAAAAACAAACACAAAGTAAAACTGACTTAAAGAAGAGTTTATTTCTCTCATCTGAAATCTGTCCCCAGTTGTTATGGTACTCCATGGTATCAAAGATCCAAGATCCTTTTATCTTGTTGCTTTACCATGGGTAGCTTCCATTCCTAAGGTCACCTCATGGCCCAAAATGGCTGTAGGAGATCCAGCCATTACATGACAATCCAGTCAACAGAAAAGAATTGCTAAGAAGAGCATGCCTCCTCCCTTTTAGGACACTTCTGGAAGGCGTAGCTCTCCTTCCTTCATTGGCCATTCTAGACACAGGGCCACATCTGGCTGCAAGGGAGACTAGGAGATAGGGTATTTATTCTGAGTGACCATGTGCCCAGCTAGGACTCAGGAAGAAGGGGAAGCTAGGGAGTCTCTACCACAAATGGTCATTTCTCCATCTTCATCTTAATCTACCTGTCAGCGGCATTTCAGCACTCCCTGCGAAAAGACTTTCTTTCCTTCACTACTGAGAAGGAAACCACACCTTCCCAGTTCTCCTCCTCCTCTCTGCTACCCTTACATGTTGGAATGACTCAGGGCAGTCCTGGGGACGCCCCTTCCTTCTCTGTCCATACTCTCCTCCCAGGTGATCTCATCTAGCCTCAAGAACCTAAATGCCGATCCAGGTGCCAAGAAATCCTAAATCCAGCCCTGGCCTCTCCCCCTAATTCCAGAATCATATATACAGCTGCTACTTGCCACCCCCTCTTGGATGTCTAATGGGTGTCTCAACCTCCACTCCTCTCCACCCATAGACTTGCACTCCCCAAGTTTCTCCCATCACAGTAAGTGGCACCAGTGACTTCAGCCAGGGAATCTGGAGCTGATCTTAATTCCTCACTTCTCCTATACTCCCCACACCCACGCCATCAGGAAGTCATAGTGACTATCTTCAAAATATATCTCAAGGTCCACTTGCTTTCACGTGCACCACTGTGATCTAGATCCCCTAGATCTCCACAGTAACCTCCTGACTGGGCCTCCCTGCTTCCCCTCCTGCCTCCTATTACCTATCCTCACATGACAGAGTGAGATTTTATTTTTTTTTTTAAGATTTTATTTATTTATTTGACGGAGAGAAAGAGCACAAGCAGGGGGAGTGAAAGGCAGAGGGAGAAGCAGGCTCCCCCCTAAACAGGGGGGAGCCCGATGTGGGACCCGATCCCAAGATCCCGGGATCATGACCTGAGCCGAAGGCAGTCGCTAAACTAACTGAGCCACCCAGGCACCCAGAGTGAGATTTTAAATAAGCAAATTGGGACAAAGGGGGTGATTCAACACAGGCATCTACTTTGTTGCCCCTGGAAACTCTTCTAAGATGACCATAAGCGTATCTTATAAGGTGTATATCCTAAAGGACAAAGAGTGCAGGGGAGGGGATAATAGTAACAGAAATTCAGATGTTGGAAAACAGAAGGGTGAGTGCCAACTGATATAGCAAACCTAAGAAAGCTGAATCCTTGCCCAGACAAAGCCAGAAAGGAACATGACTTATACCACCGAGTCCCCCAAAGTTCAGACTTGATAGCACCAGGTATCTCTGGAAGTAGAGGTAATGAGAGGAGACAGATCCCCCAGCTCCTCTCCTCAACTCCACGCAGCCACGGGACAGCCCCCTGCACTCAGACAGGAGCCGCAGAGGGTGACAGGGAGTGGCTCTGGGCTGGGGCGCCAGGTCCAGGAGCAGAATACAGGGAGTGATGGAAGCATACATAGTGAACATTGAGACGTCCTCGGCACTCTTCTCCCAACTTGGTTCCCGGAATGCTGGGGCCCGGTCAGTTCTCCCCAGTGAGAAACTGGAGGGACCCTTCCCACGGAACCTGACCAGATGAGGAAGAGCTCCCCTATAGAAATCCAGTTGCTGACATCAGAGCTGCCAGAGGGCTGAGTGCAGCCCGGGGGGTCAGAGCCACCCAGGGGCTGTGGGTCCCCCTCTGAAGTACGGACAACCGAGGGGGACTGGCTTGGGAGGAGAGGCTCGGCCACAGGCATCAAAGACCAAGCGCACCAGGAGAACCGCAGCCGGGAGGAGATGCATCAGGTTGGGAGAGGAACCACAGCTCTGAGACCCCCGCTAGCCTCAGCACAATGAGTGCAGACACAGCCCCCCGGGAACATGGACAGCAGGTGCCCCAGTGCACTGCGGTCCTCCCCGCCGCTTCAGCGCGCCCAGGCCTTTCCCACCCCAGCACCCTCGAAATAGGGGTTCCCTTCCCTAGGTCTTCACGTGGCTGGCTCCCGTCACCTCAGAGAGGCCTTCGATGCCCACCCACTCCAAAGAAGGCCCCCCAGCCACAGCCTAACAAGAGTGGCCAACTCCTCCTGGAGAGCACCAGAGAGGGAGTCTTCAGGCATGGCCAGCCGCCGATGGTCCCCGCCCCGCCGTTCAGCGCTGGGTCACTGCGTCCGGGTCGCCACATGGCCACACGAATGCCGCTGTGCACGGTAGGGAACGGGGACCGTGGCTGCCTTCCAGTCACATTCTATTTAGACCCTGAAACTTGACTTGCAGATTTTTTTTCCAACCATTTAAAAACGTAAAAACCATTCTTAGCTTCCGAGCTATCCAAAAACAGGCGGCAGGCCAGATACGGCCAAACCCTGTTCTGATACATCATCCTGTTTAATTTTTGTCAAAGCGCTGACCACTTCCTGCTATTTTCTTGTTTCTTTGCCTTTTCTCGTTGCTTCTTATCCGTCTCCCCTGCTAGAACGGAGGCTCTCTGAGAGCAAAGCCCCTGGCCATCACCCTGGTTCCCTTAGCCCCTAGAACAGTGCTTGGCACACGGCGTGTGCTCAACCATGTCTGCCGGGAGCCGGAACGCCTGCTGTGCCGCCTGGGGGGGACCCCACGCCCCCAGCAGTGACGCCCCTCCCAGCCCTGCCCCGCCCTCTCCCCTCTCTCTCGGTTCCTGCTCCCCTTCCTTCCTTTCCTCAGTCCTGAGCTGTAGGCCCCTCTGTGAGGCCCAGGGCTACCCACAAGCCTGAGAGCCAAGAAACACTCCCCCTAAGGCCGCCTGTCCTCTCGGCTCCCAGCGCTAAGGATGAGGGAACAGTGGTGCGCTGCTGGGCCAGCCCCCAGACCCAGAGGCTGACCCGCAAGGCCAGGCCTCCTGCTGACCACCAAGGAAAGGACAGAAGGGGGGGAAATGGAGCCTCAGGATAACCCCCTCTGAGGAAGGCCGGCACAAATGCTCTAACTTTTCAGCACGATGTAATGGGGCTTGAGACAAAGAAGGAGCCATCTCTGACCAGTGTCCAGAGAAAAGGATTCCTTGGGAGAAGTCCGGTCCCCAACGTGAGGCAGGGCCACCAGACTCTGAACGTTGGTGGCCACATTCCTTTAACGTTCAAGCCCAACTCCCTGCTCGAACATATGCACAAGCTACCGTACTCAAGTGATTTGGTTTCCGGAGGAGGAAAGAATATGCCAGTAGGCAGACGAGTACGGCCCGTGACCGGGGCGTGGCGCTGCTCCCCGCGAATTAATCAAGCGGCCCTCGGGCTTATCCATCCCGCCTGTGGGTCAAGGGCTGAGCTCACGTTCCTCACGTGCCACGCTAGGAACCACATCCCCACCAGCCCCTGCCTGAACCTCTCGTTTTGACCACTCTTCAAATCCAGTGGGCTTTGTGTCCTTCTGTGGTTGACAAAGCACCTAATGCTCTGCGTCGACAACTGCAGTGCGCACAGCTCATGCCGGAAGCCCCCCACTCGGGCACTGACAAAGGATTTATGGGGCCGGGACGGCCGCCAAGGCCCCGCGCACTGCCAGCCCGATGGCACGGGCTTGAACCTTACCCGATGTTTTTGGTTTTTTTTTTTTTCTGACAGAGAGAGAGAGAGCACAAGCAGGGGGAGCGGCCACAGAGGGTGAGAGAGGAGCAGGCTCCCCGCTGAGCAGGGAGCCCGATGCGGGGCTCGATTCCAGGACAGTGGGATCATGACCCGAGCCGAAGGCAGACGGCTAACCGTCTGAGCCCCCCAGGCGCCCCAAACCTTACCCGTTTGCAGGCACCCCCGAGGGCTCGCTACTGTCTTGGGAGGGACGGCGCTGGCCGGGCAGCGGCTCTCGGGGGCTCGGAGTTCCTGCTCCCACGGACACACTGCAGTGGATGTTCCCTGTCTGGCTCTCTTCACACGAGACTTTCAATTCCAGAAAAAGAAACCACTCACACAAAGGCCTTTGTGTAGGTAGCAGACTTTACTGAAGATGTGGGGAAACAAAGGGGGGTTACATAGCAAAAATACAAAAACTTGAAATTGAATATTAGACATCCATGAGCTTAAAAATAAAAAGACCTTTAGCCATTCCCGCCAACTGGGCTCCAGACTTCTACAAAGGTGCTGGGCCACCTCTCCCATCCTCTCTCAGGAAGTAAACCAATCCCAATTCCAGACAGTCTCTTATTCACACTGCCCTAGCCCACCATTTGTTCCGTGCTCCCTTTTGAGACCCTTCCCGGGGGCCTCTTTCCCCTCATGGGCCACAAAGTTATTTTCTCAGTTAAGAACACTTCCTTCCCCCCATTTCTGAGACCTGAGGATGAAAGTCTAAGCGCTGTCCCTGCTGGACAGTTCCCACAAAAGTGAGAGCCCAGGGCCTCCTCGTGGGCTCTCGGAGACAGCAGAGCTTGGTGTGTGTGTGTGTGTGCGTGTGTCTGAGTGTGAGCATGCGTGTGCATGAGTGTGTGTGTGTGAGTGTGAGAGGGGTAGAAAGAGCAGAGTCAGGGCAGGTTTTAACAGCCCTAAGTTACCACCATTCACTGAGTGCTCACCTTGAGCTCGGGCTGTCACCTTTCTCCCAACAGCAACCTAAAGTCAAAGCCACTTTATTCCCATTTCCCAAGTGGGGTTCTGAAGGTCTGAGGGGGTGAGCTATTTGCACAAGATCGCATAACTTAGTAGCAGCCAATTCGGCTTCTTAAGAACGACTCCTATATCGCTTGAAGTCTTTGGGGGAAAGCTTCTTGCTTTCATTTCTGGAGCTGACATACCAGATAAAGTAAGCAGGGGTGGGACACAGCAACCACTGGCTACACCTGCCCCCGAGGTAAAACACACTGCTGCTCTCACACCCCCCTCTGTGCGGTTTGGCCCAGGTGAGCACCGCTGACCCCACAGAGCCCTGCACCAGGCCGAGCGCCGCGGGCCGTCAGGAGCTCCCTGCCGCCCCCAGCCCTGCCTCTCTGAGCTGCCTGCCTCCTCCCTCCAGCCCGGTCAGCACCTGCCCACTGTCCTCCGAAACCTGCGGCAGGGGAGAGGAAGCAGCTGATGGACTAAGCACACACAGTCTGAGGGGCCTGAGCCATGGCCGCCCCTCGATCCTCACTCCACTGGTTTTAGTCCTGAAAGGGCAGAGATGGTATCTACACACACATACACAGGTGCATGCACACGCATCCTAAAGTCCTTCCGTGTGGGGTGCTCACCCCACTCCATGGACGTTCACTGATGGCCACTGAGGCAGTCTGCTCAGTCACTGTCAAGACAAGCGGTCTGTTTCCACGTCCCCATCTCAACCACGCCCCCTGCTAACTCTAGACCTGTCACCCTCGTGGGCTCAGGGCCCTTACTCACCTCCCGGGCCCAAACGGCACGAGCGCATGTTTACTGAGCACCTGCCATGTTCCAGACGTGGTGTTTAGTTTACAGAAAGTAACAGACCAAGGAAGCTACAGTCTGCACCCACAGACGCTGAGTCTAGGAGGAAAGACAGACTCAGGAGCAGACAATTACACATGCTTCTCTGTGGGCCCCAGCAGCCCCAGAGTCCATTTCTAAAAAAATCAAAGATTAAAGATCAAAAAGACTTACTCCCTTGCTTCAAACACTTCCAGGACCTCCCTTCACATGGAGTAAAACCCAAAGTCCTTGCCAAGCAAGGGGGTGCTGGGCTGGGGAGGGAGCTGAGTTCTTTGCCCTCCCCCTTCGCCCCCCAGGTCTGGACAGCTGGCCCAGGGCAGGATCTGGCCCCTGTCGCCCCCATACCTTAGCCCATACAGCTCTCACTCTCTGCACCTGCCCCAAACCCATACCTCCCCTGCCTCTGCTCAGAATGCCTTCCCCCACCTTCCCCGGGCTTGCGAGGCTTCACCAGTGACTCTCACATCAGCAGCCCTCTCTGCCTTGAAAGCACTTGTCACAGTCTACATGTCCTGTTACTTGCTCACTTAGTTTTCTTCCTCAATGAAACATAAGCTCCCCGAGGACCTCGTCTGTCTGGGTCAGTGATACCTCCCCAGTGCCCGCACAGAGCAGAAGTTAAGTAAATAGTTGCTAACTGAATGAATAAACACATTAATACTCTAAGCAAGTTAGTTCACTTCTCTGTGCCCCATTTTCTGCATCTTTCAAATGGGGACAGCACCCACTGGCTGAGGATTAGAAGAGGTGACAGAGGTCCCTATGTTCTGGGTTAGGAATGGAAGGCTTTTGCCACCCAAGGGCAGGTGTGACTAACCCCTCCTCATGAGGAGGGGTGACCGCACACCAGCCCTTGAAGCATGAGTAACAGTTCTCCAGTAGGAGAAAAGGGCAGGGCATGACTGGCCGGGAGAACATGTGGGGCCAAGGCCTAAAGGCAGGGAAGGGCACCCAATTCAGAAGATGCAGGGCAGTGCCAGACAAACCCTCGAGAGCGGTGGGCCAGGTGGCCATGGGGGGAGGCATCTACACCTGCACTGGTGGCTGACTGGTCTGGACCTTACAGCTCTAAGTACATGACTTTCCATGAGGCTGCTGAGGTCAGCTCCTGAAGAGAAGGGAAAACGCACAGCTCACACGTGGCCCCGACATCTGCTCCGACTCGTTCCCACCCGTAACGCAAAAGATCATCTTAAGTTGTGCATGTGCGCCATGGCCGAGAGGCTGCTCACACATCCTCCATGAGTACCTGCCTGAAGGCTCACCGTCAAGCCAGAAGGGTAGGCATCATTCCCCTTATCCAAACAGCCCGAGGGGAGAGGCAAGGAGCGAGGGTGAGGGTTGTGACAGTGACCGGGGAGGGGCGGGGGAGCCTTACACAAACCCGCCCATGGACATGTGAGCACATGCCGTCTGCTCAGGGCCTCCCAGACCCCGCGCCCACCTCCACAACACGTCTTTTGATGAGAGCCAGCCCCCACATACAGTGGAGTTAGGCAACTTGGCACGAGGTCTAGCAGCAGTCCAGAGGCCTTTGGTTAAAGTTGCTTTTTGATGAGAAGAGGCAGTCTTGGCCCGTGAGGGCAGGATACCGGATAGCTGGCTTCTTTTCCCCATCTGGAATGCTGGCCAGCCTTCGGCCCATCTGCTTATCTAAACACTGCCCATCCTCTAAGGGGCAGCCCCTCTCCATTGCAACCTCCTCCCTGTATCTTCCACACCCTGCTGTCTCCCATCTCTGAACTCCAGTTTCCGTGAGGATCAGGCAACCCCACTTAGGAGTTCTCTGATCTGAGTTTTTAGACTGCAAGCCCCTGCTATTAATAATAATGTATATTTATCGAACACATTTATGTGCTCGGCACTATTCTAGGCACTCTACATATACGAGGTAGGTACTCTTATTATACCCATTTTACAGATGGGGAAACTGAGGCACAGTGAAATTAAGTAACTTGCCCCAAGGCCACAAAGCTAGTCAGTGGCCAAGTGCCAGGATTTCAATCCTAGCTGTCTGACTCAAGCCCTTGATCCTCAGCACCATTCCATAAACACCTCCTAGATGCTGTCTTACTCACTTTTCTATTCCCATATATCTCCCTGAGTGCTGGGCACAAAGTAAACACCTGTAGGTTGAATCTTGGTTCCCTTCTGCTCGAGGCTTCTGGAACTGTGGTTCCCATTAAGGGTGATATGAGGGCCACTAGATGGCAGCAAAGAGCCAGACCCAGGCCTCCCTGAGGGAGGGGAGGATAAACTAATTATAACAACATTTATTTAGTGCATCTTGCACCAGGCACTTATAGACATTAGCTCTCTTTCTCACTAAGTCCTTCTAAGGTAGGTGCTATTGCCCTCCCCTTTACGGAAAGCAAAGGACACCAAGGCTCAGACTGGTGGAGAAATTTGCCCAAGGTCAGACAGCTAGGAATACCAGGACTGAAGCCAGGACCACCAAAACCCTAAGCCCATACAGTTCTCCCAAGAGATAAACCAAGGAACCCTTCACTGGTTCCCTCGAGGCTCAGGGTGGGTTCCACACCCCTCCTCCATGCACAGGGCACACAGACTCTACTACTCTGGGGAGGGAGTGGACAGCCCGGGCAGGCTCCTAGGCAGTCACCACCTAGCAGGCACCCTGGCTGGGAGGGAGCCCAAGGTAGGACTCAAAGAACATCAGAACTAGGTGGTCTCAGAGACCACTGGTCCACTACAGGCCTCTGACCCACTTTCCGGGCCTTCACCCCCACAAAGGATACTGTGTGACACCAGCCTCAGCACCTAAACTCCACAGGCTGGCCTCCACACCATCACTCCCGGCCTCCCTGTCTCAAGCTCTGGGCTATGCAATCCACTCCCACCGGGGAGGGATGAAAACTATCTAGAGAGTTCTGGCTGTGTGCCCTTCCAGCCTTTCCAATAACTGTCACCTCCACACCTCAAACCCAACCCCTGGGCTGGACCGAGCCTCCCTGTTCGCTGTCCTGGGGCCAGGGCACCAAAGGTGGCCAGGACACTGTGCACAAGTCCCTGCAGGGGCCCACGTGGGGATGCACAGAACAGGGCCCGAGAGCCTAGCCCCCGAGCCCAGCCCCCGGCCTCCCGGCGTGGCCAGCAGCTTGAGTGGCAGCAGAGAAGTCATCCCATCAGGAGCTTTGCATCTGGCGACATTCCTGGGTGAGTCCATGGGGGATCTCTGGGGCTGCTTCTGGCCTGCTCCCCAGTCTGCCCCCCTTCTCCCGCAGTCCCTCCCGAGGCTCAGACAGCCAGATCAGGTCCTCCGAAAATACACACCATCTTGGGTTTATTTGGGGTTGAGCATTGCAGGTTCAGGCACAGTTTGTTCCTGGCTAGGAAGAGTCAGGGCCTCTCGGCTCTCCTGGCAATTCAGGCCCCTGCAGATCCCCTCCCCGTGTCCCTGCACACACGACGTCTCTTCCCCCCTCCCTGCTCCCTGAGTCTCTTATTCTTTCACCAGCCGGTAGATATGGTGCTGAGCCCCGTGCTCACTGGCTGACACCTCAAAAACATATGCAATGCACAGCAGCGTCTCCTGCGTGTCTCTGTTGGTGACCACCTGCAGGGGACAAAAAAGATGGGAGTTAAAGCCCCAAACAAGGGCACGCCATTTGCTCGACCCACCAATCCCCTCCCGCCGCACACCTGCAGCGCACCTGTCCCTAGCACACACACACACCTGCAGGATGGTGAAGTTCTCCAGCACGCTGTTCATCATGTACTTCTCGGGCAGGTGCTTCAGCTTGTGGATGAAATTGATCATGTACTCGCACAGCGGCGACCGATGAATGCGGTATGAGTAGTGGCCGTTCTCATAGTGGGCATACTCTGTCTGCAGGACCCAGGGGGCAGCGGGGGCTTAGAATTTCTCTTGGCCACTTCCAGCCCCGGCCCAACTCTCTGGGGAAGCTCCATGACCCACTCACTGTCCACCTCCTCAGTCAGTGACGGGCAGACCAGGTCGACGAGGGGGGAGCCCAAGAACATAAGCGCAGTGGCACTAGGCAAGACAGGACAGAGCAGTGACGCAGTCTGGCTGCACACACACGCTAACAGGCACAGTGAGTGCATGGAAGCAGGTGCCATCTGAACCACACTGCTGGGCTGCATCGATGTCCATCTCCTGGGTGCCAGGATGATACTTTAGCTATGCACGATGTGGCCGGGTGCAGGGTACACGGGGTGACAACTGCACTGCATGTGGAGCCATAATTATCTCAAAATAAACATTTAATTAAAAATAACTCAAAAAGCATTTTATAAACTACTATTGCTGCAGAGCGGGTTCCAGGCACTGGTGCGTTTCCACAGTCCCCAGATGACCGCAGGGGTCGCGGGGCCGAGAAGCCCGGGGATGGGCATGGTCTCTTCCCGGGTACCAGCCTGGCATCTGGTTGTGTTGGACAGGAGGTGGTTACCAAGAACTGCCAGATGTGTGAGGGGAAGAGCTCACTGACTCAGACCAATCCGGGGAAAGAGGTGGCGACAAGGATGAAGGGCATACTGAGGCACGGAAGGGCCTGGCCTAACAAACACACGGGGTGGGGGGTGGGGGGGCTCCTACCTCCACTTTCTCTACCACCTGCTTGCCGAAAGAGCAGACCTTGGTGGAACAAGTGATTATCATGTTCTCCGGACTCTCGTACTGGCTGGAGACCCCGTAGAAGGAGCTGCCTTCATCCTCGATGTTGGTGTTGAGGTCTGCCTGGAGAAAGACACAGGGAAGACAAGCAGTGGACAGGTGAGTCAACAGGGGCCTTGCTGGGGGTGGAATGGAGGAGAACCCTGGGGCCGCTCCAGGTTCCAGGGCCAGGAAGACATCAGGAGGGCCTAAAAAGAACTGGGAGAATAGGATCTTGGAAAGCTTCCATGCTTCTCCACACCCAGGCCTGGCATAACGTCAGGGTGTGGTGTCTCAACAATTGAAAAAGAGAACGTTGTCACCTGCATTAGTCGCAGGCCTCTGCTACCCATTTAGGCACCAACACACCCAGCAGGTGCGGCCCCCAACTTTGTCTTTAGGATTCAAGTTTTATAGTCTAAGGCTTTGCTCTTGTTAAACTGCAAACATCTGAATCTATATCAGTCATTTCTATTTTAGTATGAATTTGTCAGATCCTTTCCAGAGTCAATTTTGATGGTGCAGTAAGCGTGGGAACAGAAAGCCAGAATGGGAGACTGGCAGAGGGGAGAGTAGGAGGGGGTGCTGGGACTCCTCTATGTCTCATCCTCCAGTCCAGCTGGTCACTGGACCCTGCCAGTGCTCTTTTGGAAATGGCTCTGGGGGCCGGCCTCTCACCCATCTCTACGGCATTACTGAGTCCAGCCACCCTTGACCTTTTTACATCTTTGTTTCAGATTCCAGACGAATCCCCCCCAATGCCAGTCTCCTCCCCTTTGGTTCATTGTCTAACTTCTCTGAGAGTTCTCTTTCAAAAACAAGTCTGACTGCATCCCTCCATGGTTGAAACACTCTCACTGAGCCCCTTGCCATAAGAGAACATGATGCTCACTCCCCAGCCTGGCTTGGGGGCCCCTGGTCCTCTAGATCAGCTTCTTGCTGTTCCCCAACACACATCTTTTCTTCCTCTGCTGACAGCAGAGCCTAAAGTACCTCCCGCTGGACGTTGCGTTGATTTGAAATTTTCCTCTTAGAAAAGGTGGGGTAAGACTCCTGATTTCACACACACCCCCGCAAGAGGGATAGAGCAGGATCTCGGCTTCAGTTTGATCAGTGAGGCTCCCTGACCACAGGTCCAGCCCAACCCCACACAGCGGACAAGTGACGGGCCCCAGGTGTTCAGGCTCCCACTCCAGCACTTAACTGAATCCGGCAGAGTTACAGGAGAGAGAGGGAGATACTGGATGAGACAATTCAGTGCCTTGGCAGCTCTGAGGCTGCCACTTAGGCATCCCCATCCCCAGAACTTAGGCCCCCCACTGAATCACCCCATCTGAGCCAGGGGTGCTAAAAGAGCAACTTAGCACTCAGAACAAATGCACAGATTTAAAAAGGCTTAGTGTGAGGGTGCAGCCTCTCCTCCCACCTACACAGCCAGCCTGGAATCCCTGCCAGGCTGGACCCGCAGTGCGGCAGCCCTACGAGGCAGCAGAAGCTGTAGACGCAGCTAAAGAATCCGACACCAAGGACTCCTCTACACAAAAATAAGGGACTCCTCAGAACCCTGGAAGGTTCTGGCACCATTCAGAGACGGGCACCAGGCAGTTCTGTTACTGGCCATTAGGGGATGCTCAGCCATTATGTTTCTCTCCTTTGCGGAAAGTTTTCCAAGAGCAAGAACATTCTCTGGACTGGTGGGGGCTGTTAAATGTCTTACAGCACAATAGAAATATTATGGAGCCACAAAAAATGTTGAGAAGGACCTGTGTTTACTATTGTGAATTGACTACAACAACTGTTAAGTGGGGAAAAAAAAAAAAAGCAGGTTAGGGAACACAATGAGGATGTGTTACTTTCATGATGAAAAAAAGAAAAGAGGCTGTTTTCATGTTGATCGGAATGGCACAGGTTTAGTGCACTCTGCGCCAGTTTTAATGAGGCCACCAGGGAGACAGGAAAACAAGGAACTACAGCTACACTCAAGTCAGGGCTCAGCCTCTGAAATCAGCAGGAGTGTTGCAAACGCGCCTCATCCCAGCCCCGGCTGGCCTCCGCCCCCACCCTGGTGTGGGGATGGAGCTGGGCAAGCAGAGGGTGCCCCTGAGTCCCGGCCGGGGTGGACCAGGCCTCGCTGGGCTGGGAATTAAGGGCAGATGGGACTGGCACAAGGCCTTACAGTCATGTATAAGGTGAACTGGGACCAAAATCCAGCTCTCCGTCTTTTTCCCCCGCTAAGTCACATGCTCCGCCTAGGAGACCAAGTTTGCCAGACTTCTTTAAAAAGGAACAGTTTGCTCAAAGTATACTGCAGCTAGAAGCACAGGGCAGAAGCATGAAAAAGAGCTGGCAGGAAGCCGGCTGCCTGGGAAGGGCAGGCACCTGAACACGGGAGGGTGGGTGCCGGCCGAGCGGCAAGGCCCGGGCACAAAATGATGGCTCTCAGACCACAGCCACTGCCGGGGTCCTGTTGAGTAAGGGCGCACTTGCGTAGCACCTACCACAGGCCCTACTATGCCCCTACTGCTTTCTCTTAAATCCACTCTTTCCTTAAGCCCATGCTAAGCAAGGTTATCCATGAAATCAGGGATTCTATTTTTTCTGTGATAATAACTGCAAAACTATTGAAGAAATATTTGTTCGTATGTCACCTAAAAGAACGCTGTGCACCAGGGTCAGGCAGGACTGGCCCAATCCCTCCCAGGTTCTTCCCAGCACACAAAGGTCACGGCTGCCTAGCACCCCCACAGCGCCCTGGACATGCCATGCCCTTCATCACCTTGTGCTGCCAGAATGGCCTTGGCGCCTTCCAGATGGCAAGCACCCTGCCAGAAAGGACTAAGCTCTCCCAGGGCTCGGGCCACGCCTAGGGTGAGGTGGGCCGGTCTCGAAGGCTGCCTGCTGTTCAACCTCTCACCTCTGGGTGGCGCTGGGTGAGAAGAGAGGTGAGCCCCACATCACCACACACACAGGTCTCGGTCCTAGCCTCCCACTCACCTGGCCCTTCCATCCCTCAGTCACCCACTTATCCTGCCCCAGCCCAGCACAGTCAAGGGGAGTGGGGCCCAAAGAGGCTGAGACATTGTCTCTGCTGTCAAGGAATCCCTAACTGGTGGGACAGCAAGTAGCGTAAGTGCGATGGTGTTTGAGTGGTGCAGACAGAGAGGGACAGAGATAAGGAGGTAGTGGGAGAGAGATAAACCTCCCGCAAATGACCATCCAAAGTCGGCCCCAGGGCTGGCCCAGTGGCTGCACGGCACGGAGCCAGGAGATGCAGCCGGTGACACAGACAAGCCCCGCCCAGCACCTCATCTTTTCCTCAATGCCCCATCCTCCTGACTACTACCCCACCCCTCTCCCGCAGCCGCACTTCCCACACTTCCCGTCCACCCCGGCACCCCTCACTCTAATGGGCTTGGCTTCTCTTTCTCAGCCGAAGAGGAAGGCTGCCCCCCTGCCCTCCTGTCCTCCAAATGCCCCCACGCTCTCCTCCCTCCACCCTATTCATAGCTGTGGTGCGGGTGGGCAGCCCAGGCAGGGCCTGGAACAGGTGTGGGGGATCAGGTGACTGACAGATGAGCCGAGACAGCCGCAGCCCCGGAGTGGGGGCAGGAGGGGCTCAGATTCATTGTCATGTGCTGGTATGTGCCTGGGAGAAATGTCAGGGCCCAAAGGGAGCAGCTGGGATAGGGGCTGGTCTGGGGTACCCTCCTCCCTCCAAGGCCTCAGCTCACCTCTGCCCGGCATTTTCAATTTGCAGACTGGTGTTAACAACCCTGTGTCCAAGAGCCCCCTCCCTCCCACCCCGAGGACAGAGGTGGCCCCAGCTGGTCCCACATGTTGTGGGGAAGGAGGGAGAGACTTCAGCTTCTCAGTTGCCCCTCCAGACCCCGCATGTCCCACCCAACAGAGCACAGCCTCACAACTCAAGCCTTCGGGCACCGCGAAGCCAGCCCCAGGGGAAGTGATTGGTCCGGGCAGCCAGGAGCCGAAGAACTACTAAGAACTACTACCGCAATCCCATCAACGAACAGCAACTTTCAGTGGGGATGGGCTAGGAGGCTGGGCTGGGGACATCAAAGCTCTCCTCCCACTCCATGAGGGCCCTGGTCAACTCCCCAGCGTGCATACCCAAGGCCTGGGCTGGGAAAGAAGGGAAGGCTTCAGGGGAGGCAGCTTTGTTTCCATGTCTGAGCAGCTTTCCTTTCTAATGGTGTGCAGCAAGCCTCACAACAGCTGATGGCAGGGGAAGGAGTGGCCAGGCCAGGGCGGAGAAGAGGGTTCCAGATGGCTGGGAACACCAGAGCTGGCTGTGAGGACCCCATGGGTGACCAAAAGGCTCACGCTTAGCAAACAGGAGCATTTCTTTTCTCCCCCATCACAGATTTGTACTTCCCTGGAGCCTCTGCCCTCCCCACACAGGAGGGACCAGATGACTGCCAAGGAGCCCTGGCCGCCGACATGCCCCACCCCGTCTCTGATTTCACATGTCCTCTCCCTGCCTGGTCTGGTCTTCAGAGAGGGCTTGGCTCTAGGGGCTCAAGCAAGGGGCAGGGGCACCTCAGGGTCCTCAGAGACACAGCCTCCTGCAGGTCCTCAAGAACAAAACTGCTGATGGTTCAGACGGAGAAACGGGCCCAGAGAAGCGGAGATTCACTCAGGCCACAGCTCTCGAGCAGCAGAGCAGAGACGAGAGCCTCTATGTCCCAGCTAGAGCCCACTGCTGTCCCCCTGCTCTCCCAGGACACACCAGGAGGGCCCCACCTGTAGCCCACCACGCTCTCCTATATCTGTATACCTGTTATTGCCCCAGGACCCTGAGATCTGCTCCAGATCCTCCCACTTGGAATGTGAGCTCCTGGAAGACAAGGGCCGTGTTGGGTCCACACAGCAGGGGCCATGTGCACAGCCCACGGGCAGAGTGCAGAGGCCACACAGGGAACCAGCCTGACCAATTTCCTCAGCACCAACTGTCCCCTCCCCCTTCCCTTCTCCCATCCATCAGTACCTCCAACCTCCCCGAAAACATGAGAAGGAAAGAGGGGATGTGGGCTATAAGTAAGGTTGGAGAGGAACATTATAATTCCTTTTCCCTACCTGCCCACTGTCACCTCCAGGCAGGACAATCCTCCTCATTTTCTGGAAGGCAAGTCTGGGCTCTAGAAATCCCAAGAAGCCCCACTGCCCAACTCTACGCTAGATGCACCGTTCAGTCTGCCGTCTCCACACTATCACTATTCCTCAGGGCCTTGTGGATCCTTTCTTAGGCAATCTGGAGCCTT